AATGTATTACTTGGCTTTAATTTGAGTATGTTTTTCGCGTTGGAACGAATTATTTGGTTTTACATGTAATCGTATGGGAAAAGATGATCCACCTTACGACATTTTCATGATACGATCTCAGTTTCGGAACGGATTAATTTCGTATCCTGAGGTACCACTGTCAATGTTTTATTTTTATTTAAAATGTTCACAAGAACAATTTAAACTTAACATAATACAAAAATAATCTTTAATTTATAAAAATATAAAATATTCAATTAGTTACCATAAAACACTTTATAAACAGCATACAGGAGAAATGACTGTGCATATTTCATTAAAATAAATCAATAATTTTATACAAAGTTTATAAAATAAAATTACAGTGACCAACCTCTTTGGATATTGCTTCAATTTCATTTGACAATTTCTTAAATTCTTGTCCATAAAAAGTTACATTAGATTCTAGCACTTTAATATCCGTATGAATATTATGAAATGTCTCGGGTGTATTCTTATTTCTATTTTTAACTAAATAATAAATAATAAATAAATAAATCAATGCATTTAACTTTAAAAAATTACTTATAAGTAGATATTGATGGTAAAAAAAAAATGACTGAAAAGGATCAAATAATTAACTGTATTGTAAATAAGTAAATTGATAAGAACTTTAAGAATTATTAAGTCTGATACATCTTTTCAGGTAAACAAACATTTAATGAAGATATTTAACTATTTACAATATTTGTTGTGATTTACACAACCTTATTTTATATATTTTATATAATTAATATTATATAGTATATTTTGAAATTATTATCATTTCATTATTCACATATTTTATTTACTACTACTTACATTATTTGCATAATATTACATATGTAAAACTTAAAATAACATGCTATATATACACATAAGATTATAAATTGGATTGCCAACTCAAAAAAATCAATCATAGTAACAGAATTTTTCCCATATTACTTGATAAAAAGGAATTTGTGATATTTATATGCTTATCAGTATAATACAATCAGAAATACTGCTAACTTTCAAATTTTTTTATATAAATAAATTTTTCTCATACAATAAATTACAAACTATTATTTTTCCTTATGTAAATTATAAAGTCTTTCTTAATTTTATCCATATGAAACTGAAAAATTTGTGTGCATGCCTGCATCTATGCATAAATCACAATCACATTGTATGTAAAAAATGTTATTGCTCAAAAAGAAACAATAATAAATAAATTGAAGATGAATTAAAAAAAAATCTAAGTTAAAAAAATATATATATATTTTAAAGATATAAATGAATAATTTTTATAAAATAAATATAGTTACTGAATACTCCTTATAATAATGCATTACTGTAATACAACGGAAGATTGGAAAGTTTCTGGAATCATCACTAGGGAGTGTTTCGTTTGAAGGTATTTTCCTTTGATGCATTAGCAAATCTTTTGTATGTACTGGCTTTAAATTTCACATCAATCTGGCCAATAGTTAGGTTTTTACAAGCATTGAAGTGAATCTGTGTGCCTGCTTATATGGTACATGGAGAAAAATGAAATTCAAGCTGTTGTCAAGTTTTTCCATTTGGAGGGAAAAACTGCAATGGAAATCAAATTCTGGTTGGACAATTGCTTGATTTTCATTGTGGTTTTTCCCTCCAACCTTCATTTTCCACAGCAAGTATTTGGGTTTTCAAATTCAAGCGTGGCCACACGCTTAAATACACAGAAGTGACATGGATGGCCACACATGTTCAGGCCATCCAAAAACTGCTACCACTCCAGAAATTGTGGATAAAATCCATGACATGGTGTTAGAAGATCACTGAATCAAAGTGTGTGAAACTGAAGAAGCTGTGGACATCTCCTATGAACAAGTAGTTCTTATTTTGCATAAATTGTCTGCAAGATGAGTGCTGCATTTGCTCAGTCCGGAGCAAAAACACATTTGAGCCTGAATTTCTGCCAAGAGTTTAGAAATGTTTAAGAGAAATCCAACAGATTTCAAGCATCAACCTGTGACAATGGATGAGACCTGGATTCACTCACCAGAAACAAAAATTCAATCAAAACAGTGGATTGGAGATGGTGAGCAGATTCCAAAGAAGACAAAGATCATTCCTTTGACTAGTAAGGTGATGGAATCAGTTTTTTGGGATGCCAAAGGAATTTCGTTAATTGGCTATATTGAAAAAGGAAAAACGTCACTGACCAATACTATGCAACACTTTTGGACAAGCTCAAAGCAACAATCCAGGAAAAATGTCTGGGTATGATCAAGTAAAAAAGTGCTATTTTACCATAATAATGCACCCGCACATTCAAGAGCAATTGTTCAACAAAAACTAGCAAAAATTAAGTTCAAAATTCTTCTGTATCCCCATAATCACCAGATTCAGCTCCCTCAGACTACTGTCTGTTCCTGAAATGCAAAACATTCCTAGCTGGAAAGAGATTTTAGTCCANATAGTTACTGAATACTCCTTATAATAATGCATTACTGTAATACAACGGAAGATTGGAAAGTTTCTGGAATCATCACTAGGGAGTGTTTCGTTTGAAGGTATTTTCCTTTGATGCATTAGCAAATCTTTTGTATGTACTGGCTTTAAATTTCACATCAATCTGGCCAATAGTTAGGTTTTTACAAGCATTGAAGTGAATCTGTGTGCCTGCTTATATGGTACATGGAGAAAAATGAAATTCAAGCTGTTGTCAAGTTTTTCCATTTGGAGGGAAAAACTGCAATGGAAATCAAATTCTGGTTGGACAATTGCTTGATTTTCATTGTGGTTTTTCCCTCCAACCTTCATTTTCCACAGCAAGTATTTGGGTTTTCAAATTCAAGCGTGGCCACACGCTTAAATACACAGAAGTGACATGGATGGCCACACATGTTCAGGCCATCCAAAAACTGCTACCACTCCAGAAATTGTGGATAAAATCCATGACATGGTGTTAGAAGATCACTGAATCAAAGTGTGTGAAACTGAAGAAGCTGTGGACATCTCCTATGAACAAGTAGTTCTTATTTTGCATAAGTTGTCTGCAAGATGAGTGCTGCATTTGCTCAGTCCGGAGCAAAAACACATTTGAGCCTGAATTTCTGCCAAGAGTTTAGAAATGTTTAAGAGAAATCCAACAGATTTCAAGCATCAACCTGTGACAATGGATGAGACCTGGATTCACTCACCAGAAACAAAAATTCAATCAAAACAGTGGATTGGAGATGGTGAGCAGATTCCAAAGAAGACAAAGATCATTCCTTTGACTAGTAAGGTGATGGAATCAGTTTTTTGGGATGCCAAAGGAATTTCGTTAATTGGCTATATTGAAAAAGGAAAAACGTCACTGACCAATACTATGCAACACTTTTGGACAAGCTCAAAGCAACAATCCAGGAAAAATGTCTGGGTATGATCAAGTAAAAAAGTGCTATTTTACCATAATAATGCACCCGCACATTCAAGAGCAATTGTTCAACAAAAACTAGCAAAAATTAAGTTCAAAATTCTTCTGTATCCCCATAATCACCAGATTCAGCTCCCTCAGACTACTGTCTGTTCCTGAAATGCAAAACATTCCTAGCTGGAAAGAGATTTTAGTCCAATGAAGAAGTGATTGAAGCTGTAACCAGCTACTTTGGGGGCCTTGGAGAAAATCACTTCTGGAAAGGATTTGAAAAGCTGGAGAAATGTTAGATCAAGTGTGTTAAAATTCAAGGAGATTATGTTGAAAAATAAAGTGTAATTCATTTATTTTGTTTTCATTGCATTCCAGAACATTTCAATCCACTCCTGTAGTAAGAAAAAAAATCCTACTGTTAGTATCTGAAGCAACTGTTGGCAAGGAAAATGTCTTCCTCATTTCCAAATAGGCCTATATATTTAATTCTTATATGCAAATGTCCCCCCTTTTTTAAATTTGTGTTTTTGCTAAAATTAAAACCAAATCCTTATTAGAGCATTGGTTTTTCTGTTAATATTTTAAAAAAGCCTGAACATTATAAGTTGTCAATATTGAATTATTAGTGTTCAGGCTACTTGCATTGTGTATTGCCACATGATTTTAATTTGCATCTTTTTTCAATGATTGGAAAATTTCCATATTTCCATATACCTACCACACAATATACATGTCCTTTTTTTGAATGAATTAATTGATTTTATAAAAATTTGTACAATGCTGGAAACATCTCTCTTGTAGTTGGATAAATATTAAAGTGAACACCATTTATAGATATTGAATAAAGTACTAACTTGACTACTGGTATATTTGAATTACTTTTCATATTGTTTATAATCATTATAGCTAGAGAGATTAATAATCCAACATTGATAGCTTATCTATACTACTATACAGTAGACCCCCCTATAATGCTTAGATACGTTCCACTTTATAAGAATTTTACGTTGTAGGAATCCTTAAATACATGAGCCAATCACAGCCCGACATGTGTGAAGTTTACGGACTAAGGCTGTTTGAAAGGTTTTCTTCTATAAAATGAACCGATTCTAGACTAATTCGACTCAACATTTCCAAAACACGTATAATTTTTTGGGAATAATCTGTATAAACTATGCTATAAACAAAAAATTATAGGATTACTTACCGAGTGTGCACCGTTC